GAAACTGGGCCATCCCCAACAGTCTGTACTATTATAGTAAAGCCTAAATAAGTGAGCATACTATAAGCATGAGCTTGAGTGTAGGTGCTTTGCTGCTTTACTGCTTTTCTATTCATCATTCTATCACTTACAATCACTTCTAGTATTTCTCTGACTGACTCATTGAGCTGACTAGGAATTTCATTGCTCCTTTCTGCTTTATTACCCCTAGTTGAGTTGTGGAGTCTGAGGCAATACAGGGTTGGAGAGAATATCCTCTAACCACTGTCCTTTCTTCTCAGTCTCAATACTGTACCCTCTTCAGTTTTGATACTGGTCTGGGTTTTTGTCATTATTATCTCCAGTCAGCTACTCTGATCTTTGAATACTCTTTTCATCTGGCTTGTACTTTATAGGTAGGGCTAACATATGGCAGAAGAATTTCAGTCTATTAGATAGCACAAAGATATGACACTATAAATAAGAAATACATGTAAAAATAAAGTCACAAAACAAATGAAAGTGGTGGTCTGAAACAAAATGCATTTTACTTCCAGAAATTTCCAAAACAAGTACAATATTAAAAATTATTTCAAGTAAGACATCAATAAAAATTCAAAATGTTGAGATAAATGAGTAAACTTCAGTATGATTAAGGTATGATAGACAGTAAATTAAATGGATATGCAACGAATGGCATCTTTGTTGTTAAAAGAAAAGGTAACTGAATTACAAAAAGACACACCGGGTAATACAATTGCAGGAGATCTGGTATTTCTTTCTCAGAGCTAGCTAAATATAACAGTGAAAAGTTTTGTTTTGTAAACAAAACAAAATGCTGAACAGAATTTTAGAAAAAAAATGTACTTGAAAGACTTATGGGGTCTTCTTGACAAGAATATTATAGAACATGCATATCTATTAACACCAAATGGACTGCAAAATTTAACAATCTGCATATGAAAATCATAAATAAAGGTAAAATATTGAATGCTCTTATATAGAATATAAATCAATCAATAAATAAATAAATAGTTAAATAAATAAATAAATAATACAGGGAGCATAAGTAAATGATACACCTAAATGAAGAATAATTAATGTAATTCTAAATAATTAGTAAATGAATGATCAAATCATAGAAAAATAAACATTTATGTTTTAAAAAAATGGTAACAATGAGACAATACACCAGCATTGGGGGGGGGTGCAGTAAATCAGCACTCAGAAAATAAAGCTTAGTTCTGAAAAAATTATTAACCAAATCCAAGAGGTGATTAATGTTCTAAACATTCAATTTAGAAATTTAACTGATGTTTTACTTTTGCGTTGCCAAGATTAAAACTATAGCATCCACTTGCTACTTGTAGCTACCTTGTCAGAAACTCTGCTCCAAAACACTAATAATCTTTTTGCTCACCATTTTCAAGGGCACAGGGATAGTCAATAGCTATAGTGGAAAGCATACTAGATTTGAAGTCTGAGTCCATGTTCAAATTTCAGTTCTGCTACAAAGGATGATAGGGCCATAAGTCTAGAGATGGTAAGCGATTCACAAGCTACTGAGTTCAATCTACGCTTTTACAGATGAGGAAACTGTAGAACAGAGAAACAATTTGCCCAAGGTGACATAGGTCATAAGTTTCAAATAGGGTTTTGAACCAACGTCCTCTAAAGTCCAGAGTCATGCTGCATTCTTGTTAACCTGTGTCACCTTGGATAAGCCACTTTAATAATATGAACCTGTTTCTTCATCTGTTATCCTGGATGATGTCTAGGTTTTCTCCAAGCTCTAACTCCATGATCCTTAATATGGTCCCTTCAAATTTTCCAAAAATCAAGGTTATTTATGCCAGGTGAATCAGTCAATTAAAGTACCTATAGTGCAAAAGATGATAGGGATATAAGAAGTTTATATTTGATCCTAGAGGTAATAGGAAACTATCAGAATTTTCTGAATAGTAGAGAGAAATGGTCAAACTTAGGAAAATCACTTTGACAATTATGTGGAAGATGGATTTGGGGGACAAGAGATTCTTGAAGCAAGGAGACCAACTCAAAGGCTATTATAATATTCTAGGTAAAAGGTAAAGATAGCTATGTGAGTGGAAGGAGAGAGTAGCATTCAAGGAATATTATGCAAGTGGGGATAAGAAAATTTGACTATTAATTGGAAATGTAGGTTGGAAATGAGGAGTCAAGGACACTGAAGAATCAAACCATGGTGACTGGAAAAATGGCAGTACCCTTCAATGAAATACAGAAATTTAGAACAGAACAGGTTTGGGGAAAGATAACGAGTACTGTTTGGGACATATTGAGTTTGAGGTATCAATTAGATGTCTAGCTTAAAATATAAAGGAGACAATTGATGATGCTGATCTTAAGCTTGGAAGGGGGCCTAGAAATAAATATTGATATCTGATGTTGCCGTGGAAATCATCTGCATAAAGATGAGAATTAAACCCATGGGGAACTAGTCAAAGGGTAAAAATATGTGGTATTGGGTCCAGAAGTCTAACTAAGTTAGTCCAAGTAAACTTAATGTATCATTTTGATTTCTCTAGCATTAAATGAACAACTGTCAACAAGCTAAATTTATTTGATACTCAACAATGCAGAACTTGATTTGAGTCGAGCAACAGACCAGTGCTACAGCCTCTACCAGTCTTTCCCCTACAACTCTTAACTCTCACAACAAGATTGAGTCTCTCAGCAAAAGCTTTATTACAAATGTCTATACAGATTATTAGTGGAAGATCAAAGTCAAAAATCTCATTGATCATTGTATTTTGATACACAAAATATATCAGAGGTGGTGACAGAAATATGTATATGCGTATGTATGTATATGAGATATATCTATACAGATATACACACATTATATGTTATTTATTATATATTTATATAAATGATATATGCAACTATGTAACATAATTCATAATATATAATATCTATTATGGAGATCAGAGTTGAAGCAAAGGAAGTAAATGAGTGAGTGAAAGAAGTGAATTATTACATACATATTTATCTTATTCGCTAAACTCTCCACGGCTTTGATAATTCTATTTTTTTTCTTGGAATGTTCTCCCTCTCTTTGCCCTGATTTCTACTTCCTTTTAAATTCTTATTCTGGTTTTAAAGCATGGATCAAACAAATGCTACCTATTATAGGAAGCCATTTCTGATCATCCCCCTCCCTATTTCCCCAATCCACTTCCCAAGTTAGTAATGGATTTTCTACTTTTCTGCCCTCAAAAATCACACAGCACCTTCCTTACATCTCTTAATAGGTATGTTAAATAGTATTCTGTTCTGTATTGTCATTATTTGTGCTTCTGTCATTACTGCCCCAGCCCCCAGCCCCAACTCTGTCAGTGTTAGCATAGTGGTCTGGACAAATTAGAAAAAAAAAATGTTTAATTGAATTGATTCCCAGAGGCAGATTAAATTCTTTTTAAAAATCATCTGTCATTTTATATTGCCCACATTTCATTCTTTTTTCACACTATTATGGATAATTAAATCTTGACTATAACAATATTAGAGAGGGATTTTTTTCTTCTTTTCCTTTAAAAATATTTAGAATAAGGATCTTTATGAAGCCATGTGTTAGGCAAGAAGAATTTGGCCTATGATATCTTTAATATGAGATGATCCATTATCTCAATCTTTAAGAATTCTATATTTTAATTTACTATTTAAAATATCATAACTAATGAAACAATAAGAATGTGACATTGTGGATTGAGAACTGATCTAAGAATCAAAAAGATTTTGGTTCAAGTGCCATTTTTTACACATACTGTGTGACCGTTGGCAAATCATTTACCTTCCCAGTGCCCCAAGCGAATTCTCTGTGGTTTTCAAAGAACAGATGCCAACTGGTTGAGTTTCCTCACCAGGAAGAAGTTCCCTAATCTAATGAAATCTCATTTTGCACCCCTTATCCTTCCTACCCACAAGGAAAAAAATGTATTACTTGTAACTGTATATTACATATAATCCCCAAGCAATCTTTTTTCAGACTAGCACAATTGAGAGACTGATAGAATTTCAGAATTAGAAAGACCTCAGGTCATTGAATCCATTCTATACCTGAATAGGAATCCCTACAAAAACATCAGTAGCAATTGATCATCTGGCTTCTAGTAATTCAGAATTTCACATTCTGCTGATGGAAAACCCATTACTTATAAAGATGGCCATTCCACTTTAGATGGCTTTAGTTGTTAGGAAGTTTTCATTACATAAAACCAAGATATGTTGTCTAATAAATAAATCTTGTTGAAATTTAGGTGTCATAACCTTCTTTTTACTATACTGATTTCTCTTAAGTAAATTTATAAGAGTCTCTTCACAGCTAAGAGAAAAACAACAAAAACAAGAAGAAATGATCAGATGTGATTGTCTTTGGAGGACTATTTTTTAAACATATTGAAGGATAATGCTGGCAGCTATGTTTCATTTTTTTTATTAGTCTTAGAGAAATGCACAGCCAAATCAGCATATAGACAACTTATCATTTGACCCTCAATATAACTAAGCATAGTTATTCTTAATTGCTTTAAAAAATGAAGTTTTAATATATTTGAAAGAAATGGCCAATGCTGAGAGAAAAAAAAACATTGGATTATGCTTGGACAGAACTCTCTTCTGTTTTCATTCTAAACACCATAGTTGGTCTCATTTAATGTTTGAAGGTTTGACAATTATTCCTTGAATGTTCTTCAATTGCTTGAATTGTATAACTGGACTAATTCTAGACAGCTTATAGATTTCTCATGAGCAATGGGATTATAATTAAAGGGGGCATATTCTAATAGGAATAACTTTTGAGGAATATTTGTGTGTTTCTTAGTATTTACTATGACTCTCTAGAGATAACGTATGTGTGTGTATATATACTTGGAGAGATTATAACATAACTCACATAGGTATTTATGGTCTATTTTTTATTTTAAAAATTATTCTATGTTGAATTCCATTGTCAAATAAATTATATTTTCTTGAATTCACAGGTACCTCTGTTCTACAGGTGACAGCTACAGATGCAGATGACCCAACCTATGGAAACAGTGCTCGAGTGGTGTATAGTATTCTTCAAGGACAGCCATACTTCTCTGTTGATCCCAAAACAGGTTGGTCCTCTTTCTTCAACATGTCCTTTAATCTGTATTAGAAAAAAAATGATTTCTTTTCTTTGAAACCTTCTTCTCTACTAGGCACAATAACCTGGACATCTTCTTTTTAGATATCCATTAAAAATAATGTTTCGTACTAGCACAATTTTAATTACTGAAGACTCTCAACTCCATAGTAAACTTTATTTTTATTTCTAATGTAATTATTCCTGGATGATTTTATTTATCTATCTTAATGCCAAAGAAAATCAGAATGCCACAAAATGGTACTGGCATAATTTTAAATGAGTTGTCTGTGTTTCAAAATGAATTTGAACAATACTTTAATGAGAATCTCTGCATTAAAGAGGAATATATTCTGTATTTAATATCAGGCTATTACTGCCAAAGAAGGTAAAGAATTTCTTAGATGCAACATTCCTAATATAATTTCAGTTGTGGGGAAAGACATATTTTCCATTACTTATTATAAATATATATTTATATGTACATGTACATGTATGTATATGTGTATGTGTGAATGTATATATGTATACACACACATATATACACACACGTGTGTGTGTATTTTAATATCCCTTAAGTGAGAACTTAGTTGCAATTAACAATTTAATTTCTCCACCAAAGCAGTTTTTTTATACCTTTTTTATGGGAAATAAATTAAAATAATTAACTTGAAGTGAGTGAAATGGGGAAAAAAAGTTTCAGAAAATTACATATTAGGCTGGTGAGTTAAAAGTAGGAAGATATCCATAAATTCATTAAAGAAGATAGGATTCTATGCCTTTTTTCCCATCTTGCCCCAACCAATAAATTAATGTTATTAATAATGTTGCCTTACATTTATGTAGTACTTTGTGGTTTTCAAAACTCACATTATCACATTTTATATAACTGTAGAAATTTGTGGCTAGGCAGGATCATAGAAGTCAACTATTCTAATCTTCCCATTTAATAGTTCAGGAAATTTAGGCCAAATTCCCGATTTCCCGATATCAAACACGTTGTTGTTGTAGGAACAGGACTAGACACCACAGTTCCTAATTACTAGTCCAGTCCTTTTTCTTCTAGACATCATCACAGCAATTTTGTGAAGTAAGCAAGGAAGATATTATCACCATCATACTTTTGTGAAAATAAATTCTAGGAGGTAATAACTTTTTAACATTGTATGGCCAGTAATTACAATGGGGACTATATTCCTGGAATTCTAACTATTTTAGTAATGCAAATTGGGCATGGATATCCACTCAATTTAGCTTCATTAGAAAAAATGGAAATAAGAGTCTTAAATGTAGTGTAACTCTTTTTTTGCCTAAGAATCATATAAGAAATATATGATTTCATAATATGTTAAGAATCATATAAGAAATAGCTAGGTTCCCATCAGCTGTAATCAGAAAAAAAATGAGATTCAGGGAAGCTAGTAAGATTTTATTTTCTCTTTTTTTTTCAAGAACCATGTCTTATAAGGTCTTGTTAATCCCATAGAACCTAGCACATTTCTCCACAAGGTTCATGTTTAACATATGCATATGATGCATTGTTGCACCCAGGTAAGCTTCAAAATGGAAAATGCTCCTTAAAATTGTATGAAAGTAACTTTAAAAAGAGAGAAATATTAATGATAAACACGTTTGAACTTGTTTTATGAGTAAGAGCTATGATTTAGACAGCCTAGTGAAATTCTAGTAATGGAAGAGAAAGCAATATCATTGCAGGTCAAATTATATGAGCAGAGTCACTGAACTTTTAAGTAACAAAGCCTGGATAGAAAGGCAAGTCTTCCTTCTTCCAAGCCCACTGTGTTAACATATCCTACTTTTTATTTGGACATTTTTGATTACTAAAAAACCATGAATTTTTTTTAAAGAGGTGGAAGTTGTTTCACAATTATGAAATTGTGTCCTTTGTGTTGAAGATAACTCTGTTAAGCATGAAGAAAGGAAAGGGCTGTGGCTGTCAATGGGGGAAGTTTTGAGTGAAGTGAGAAAAAAATTTGGCCCTCCTAATACCAAAACGCCAGGTATACCTATGCCATTTACAAATTCTCAAAGCAACAATGAATGGAGGCTTCATCTGGTCAGTAATAAATCTCTTCAGGCAAATATATATTTTCTACAGGTTTAAAAAAAAACCCAAACAAAATAGGGACATGGTCTACTGTCCTTCAATAATAAGATCATATGCAAATTTGATCTTTGATTTCCTCTATGTAAAGGGAAGTTTCAAGGTCAATATTTGTCTTTAAATACAATTTTTTTCTTCAAAAACATGTTTTCAAAATATTCCTATATTAAAGGACCTGGTTTATTATTTTACACACACACACATAATACCCCTGCCTTTTTGCTAAAGGAACCAAAATATCTCTACTCGCAATTATACAGTGTCCATAATGAAATAGGTTTTTGTGTTTTTGTGTTTTTGTACTTTGTCAATTGAGGGAAATGTCTGACTAATCTGAAGTCAGACTATAGAAGGGAATCTACTAAATACACATAAATAAAGAAATTTTACACAATGCACTCACCCTAATATGCCCTTTAAAGTATTAAGCATTTTTACTGTAGAGATGCAAAACATTTTCCAACATAAATTAGTCCCTGTTCAAATCCTGTCCACTAGCTATATACACTTCTTTCTCCTGAAAGAATAGTAGCTACTTGAATGAAAGACATGCTGCCTTTGTTGATATATTGTTATTTCAAGCTATAATGCTTTCAAGGTATTAAAATGAAAATAGCATAAAAACACATGACTATTGGTATATATCCTATGACAGTTGATATGGAAGGGTTTTATTTTTTAATTTTTATTTATTGGGGGAGTGTGAACTTGTTTTGTTGACTATTTTTCTATGTGACTTTTTTCCTTTGTAATCCTATGTATTTTATTTTATACATTTAAAAATGTTATTCTGAGGAGAGTTCCATGAGCTTTACCTGTCTTTCAAAGAAATCCATGATCCAAAAATATTAAGTACCTATTCTATGGACTAGTTCAAAATTTATTATGGTATTCATGTTGCTTTGTTCAAATCTAAACATCATTTTCTAAAGTCAGTTGATCTATATGCCTATTAAATCTGTGCTTAAAATAAATAGATTAGAAGAGTTGAGCCAAAATGGTTGAGTAGCAGGATGTAGAAGCAAATTTTTATAACCTAGTTCCAGGGCTGACTGAGGAAAGGACTTGAATCTAAATGTGACGCTCTATGTTGAGAAGCATTTGACAGTTCAAGATTGTGTACCAAGTAAGCAGTAAGTTCAAAAGCAAGCAACAGCTATGTGTCTGTGACCCCCGAAATGGTGTGAAGTCTCTGTTCCAGCGTTCAGCTCAATCTGTAGCCTGCAGTTGAATAATTGGCACAAGAATTCCAATCCAGAGATGAACCTACAGTTCTGTCACTCTGAGCTAGTAGTCTCCAGACTGTTTATAGTGGCTGAGGTTAGCAGAAGTCTACTGGAACTTCCAACCAGGTACAAGTTTACCTTGTAAGACCCAAAACCCCATTACGAACTTGCAAAGCTCAAAGCAGGTGGGCAAAAATCAGGCATTACCTTTAATTAAATCACTTTGAGATGACTGAAAACTTTCAAATGCCTATCTTCAGCTGTCCTTGAGATCCTGGAGTAATATGATACTCAATACTGCAGAATGAAGTAGGAGGACCAGCCTACACATCCCCTTCAGAAGTTTGCAAGCCCAACCATAATGTAGAACTTGAAGTGAGGAAATATACTGCAAATATGAGCAAACAACAAAAAGTATCCCACCATTAAAAAGTTATTATGGAAGAGAATGCCTAGATGGTAGAGTAAAAGGAAGCAATGCAGCTGAGTTTCCATCCAGTTGTGGATGGGAACTCCACAACACCTCTAGACAAATCTAAATGTACCAGACTGAATAATGATAAAGACATTTTTTAAAAAAAGTTATGCCAGTCTAGGTTGACCTAGAAGGGCAGACAAAGATGTCTGCAGAAACTGGGGACAAAGTCAAAGTAAGACCATGTGGTGGAAGTATTCCAGGGCTCAGGAAAGGGCTACACACCAGCACAAAAGACCTGTCATAGGAAACCCCCAGACCCACACTGGGGCACTGGGATGGATGTAATACCAAGTGGCAACTTTGTTGCCCATCACCCAGTGTCAGGTCTCAGATCCAGGGAAGAGTGAGAACAGCATTTTTCCTTAGCATACAGAGATGCTGGGCAGTATAGCAAGAAAGGAAAAAGTTTCAGAAGCCAGATGCAGCAGCAATGATATGGTTCAGACCTAAAGCACAAAGCGTAGTCTCACTTCAAGAATCTAGCCCAGGCTGCAGAAGAATAACTGACTCACAGCTCCACAAACAGTGAATCATTGAGCTTGATTTCCCACACACTTCAAACAGTTGCTTATTTTATTTTGGGGGGGTTTTTTTGGTCATTTTTGCTAATCTGATGGGTGTGAGGTAGAATGACAAGGTTGTTCTGTTCTGAATTTATCTTATTTTGATGTGTTAAGGAGCATTTCTTAGAATTCCTAGCAGTTGGGTTCTCATTTGTAAAATGCCTATTCATATCTTTTGACTTTGTATCTTTAGGAAAATGGCTCTTGTTCTCATATATGCATTAACTATTAATTAATCAGGTACTAATTTCACTGTATTGTCATTTGTAATTCTGATATTCTGTGCTTTCCCAACACTTGACAAGAATTTGGTAGTACTTGGTGGCAGTGAAACTAGGGGATATGATTGCATTCTTAGTTAGGTTTATGAAGACTTAGTTGAGTTACATCAGAAACTAAACAGCAATAATGAATCTGACTTAGCACTAGTTCACCATGATTATAGCTGACAAGCCTTGTCGCAACTGCTAAAGATGACAATTTATTTATGTACTGTAGATGACAGAGGTTAGTTGGTAACTGTTCCATACAACTATTAAGAATTTTTAGATATAAAAGAATAAGTTTACACAATATAATAACCATTATGTTTATTTTTCTAAATTGTACATCATACTTAAGTAAATTTTGTATAAAATATTTTTGCTCAATTGTGAAATCTTATCCATTTTCAAATGATAATCATATTTTAAAAGTTGTATAAATAATTTTTATGTATTATTCTTATTCAGAGAAAGAACCTTGAAAACCTAGCTTTCAATTCCATACAAAGACACTCATTGACATCCTCCACTGAGTGTGCAAAGGACATTATTACATTTGCTTGATTTTTATTATGTAGTATCAAAAAAAAAGCATCATTGAGAGTCAAAGCTCTTGTTAGCCAAGCCCTTCTTATTCAGTGACAGCTGTTTCAAGCAATTCTCCACTTAATCTAAAATGGCGTTGTTCACAGTTTAGACAGCACATTTTGAAGATATAAGTTATGATGTTGGCTTGTTTTCATTTCACCTGACATGTCATTCCAAATATTCTAAAGCTATTTTTAGTCACAATATTTAAAATGTTATAAAAGGCTTAAATACAATTTAATTGGAATTAATCAATTAAATGCAATTTAATTGGAAATTATTTTTCATCTTTTAATTATTAATGGTATTTTAAAATTAACTTAAATTTTGTCACCAAACAATATTCATTTGTTTCAAAGAGCAGAAAACTGTTTCAAAATTACATCAAAGGGAATTTTGAAGTGCTCTCAATAATGTTCAATATATATCAATTTTAAGAATAACACTTTTTATGTTCAATATTTATTATTCAGACATATTAAAAGGTTTGTTTTAAGTTATACATGTGCATATATGTGTGCCTATCCACCTACTAGATGTAGATACATATATAATATATGGCCAGAACAATCACAAGTCTGTTAAAAAAATATTTGTATGAGTACATGTTTATTTATACACACTACACCCCACGGTCCCACTCCGTGTAAATGTATTGGTGAGGAATTTTATCTACCCATGCATATGGATGCTTTATCTGCAACTTATAGCATTTGAGAATTTTCTTGCACATTGAGAAGTTAAGTTATTTGTCCAAGCTCGCAAAATCAGTATGTGAGTCTGAGGTGGGATTTGAACCCAACTATTCCTGACTTTGAGTCCATATTTCTAGCCATTGTATATGCCACACTGCTTCATATGGACCCATATATGTATTCATCTTTCTTTTTTCTTATACTACAATTATTGTTTCTTTTTATTTATTTAATTATTATTGTTAAAATATTGTATATTATACATATTATTAAAATTCTTATTTATTTAACTATTGTTTCTTTTTGTTATACTGCAATTAAATTTGAATACCTATATTGAACAAATGTCTTTGGAGAGAGTGTGGTATTCCTTGACTCACAACTCTACAGCACTACCAGAATAATATCTTATATAAAAGGAGAGGGGGGTGCATGATTTCATAGAAACACTTGGAGTAATTAAAAGAGCTAGACAATTTCCAAAGGGAAAAACAGATTATTGTGTTCCTTTAACTCAGTTTTGCACCCAGTAATAACTTTACTGAAATGTGTGCATACTTGTGAAAATGCCCATGTGTTAGCATTAATAACCACTTACAACTTTTAGTGAAAATAGGAGGGGTTAAATCATGAAAACAAGTGATTAGATCAGAGCTAACAACAACAACAAAAAATACAATAGGTCAAATGGGGGAACAAAGCTTAAAAAATTCAGACATGAGCAGACTCCTTAGAATTCTGTTGCTTAGAATGTGCTGAAGATGTCAAGAAAGGCTCGTGGGGGAGGGGGAGTTGATTTCTTTTGTTTGCTATTATGTCCATTGTTGCTGTTATTTTTAGATTTACTGGGGGAAAGAATAGGAAGAAAGAATAGGACTGATGTGGATGAGATCATGATAACTATGAACAGATAGCTTTGAAAGGTGACTGAGAACCCTTGAGAAGCGGGTTGAGTTACCAATCAAACTCTGCTAACTTCACAATATTGCTTTAGGGTAGTTATGTATTGAGGAGAAGAGAGAAGTCATTTTTGCCTCTACAGAAGAGCTTCTTAGTGGCTTTTTTGTCTGCTCCTTAGTGTAA